GAAACAAAAAGCGACCGTTTTATCCAGTTTTGGTACACACGATCGAGAAACGTAACAGCAGACAGTGGTCACTGAGGGACAGCTACGTCAATGGAACTGGTCTTCTGAAGGGACAGAGGAAGCTGAGCACATCTGGCCATTGTTGTTGTGTGTCTGTCAGACTGTGAGGGCTTCGTGGGTTTGGCTTATGAGAGCAGGCACGCAAACGGTACGTCATACGGCAACGATGGACGCATGCGCAGCACCAGTCGGATCTGGGCAGTGTGAAAAGAGCCGGAGCTAAACCGAAGAACCGGTTCTGAACCTGAAAAGATCTAGCACGGAGCTTGAACCGGAGTTGCGTTGGTGTGAATGAGGTATTAGTAGTAGGTGATAAAATCAGATATCATAATATTTGAACTCAATGCTCTTCGTTTATGGGATAAATAACAGCGAAGAAAACATATTAAAAGGATAAGAAAACTGTTATTAGTTGTTCAGAAGAACACATTCACTGTTCATTTCAAAGTTTACTGCATTAAAATAACACCATATCCAGAGTATTATTCCAGCATATAGTTTGACCATCCGGGCCTTTTTTTGAGAGCACAATAACAACTTTTACTTAGTTATCAACTAACCTTCAGTTTACAGTCTTTAAGTCTTTCAAATAAAGGGCAGGAATTGTGTTTGAGACGCAAGAAAGCTGCCATAAAAGCCAAAAATACAACTGATTGACGTATCGAAACTACAATCACTGATATCACACAGAGTGGGTGAGGCTATGTAAACACTTTGATCAGCTGCACTGAGAAAGAATCAGAGGTGACAAACACACCGTCAGTGTGAGTATTGAAGGTCAAACACTACTGCAACTTTATTAGACATTAACTCTTGTACATGATGATTGTATTGCAATTAAACGCAGTTAAATACATAAATCCTAGAGGAAGCAGAGCTACCTGCTGTTTCCAAGTGCAATGAAGCTCATAGGAAAGAGCACGTCCATCTCTTCCTATATGCAAAAGTGTTGAGGAATGAGGATCTACAAACAAAGAGGCCTGTCTGCTCACATGTCCTTAAGTTACACTGAGTTACAACACATTATATGAAGTGAGAGGTGAGAGGATACTGATGTGAAAATAATTTTGATTTGTTTAGAATTTGTCTGCACTTCCCAATATAATGTAAATACAGATAATTACTAGGTTGCCAACACCGTGCTGGTAACAGTCCTCTTTGACACTCAAAGCCAGCACCAGACACTTTTAGTACGCTGCTATGGACAGTCTTGCACTAATGTAGATTCTCAAAGATATTTAAGTGACTGTTATTTTGTATATATTGATAGTTGTGCTTTTATTTATGTCTTAATGTGTGCGTATGTATAAATGTGTCTTTTGATTGTGTATATATATAGGTATCTACATATTTGTTTATATCTTTGTTTTTGTACTCGGGATTGTGGGAAACAGTATTTCAATCTCTCTGTCTGCACACACAAACTCAAAGATTGACAATAAAGTTGACTTTGACTACACTTTGCATGCCCATCATTAAAGAACACTTCCTGGCAACAACAAAAAAGGAAAAAGCATGCGGACAGACTACATTTAAAGTTTGAACATGGTGAGTATATGGTAAACCTACAGAGCCTGATGAGCGTCAGCATTTTAGCATCGTCATTGTGAACATGTTGTCATGCTGATGTTAGCTTTTAGCTCAGAGCACAAGTGTTTAAAAAGCTACGTTGCAACTGTAGTTTTCACCAAACATTACTTAAAGGTAGGGTATGTAAGTTTGAGAAACCGGCTCGAGATCGCCTGAATTTGAAAATACACGACCGGAGAAAATCTGCCACTTCCTCACAGAGCCCCTCCTCCAACACACACACGAACGTGGACATGACCAATGAGGGCACGAGATAAGTTTGTGCAGAGATGGAAGGCTGACAGGCAGGTAGGCCATCCAGTTACTTTAGCCGGGCCGGCTCAGATGATTGGTCGTGCTTTTTACAGCGCCACGGCTTCCACAGATGACGTTTTTTTATGGATTTTTTGTCAAAGCACTTCAGATATTCATTGCTATCAGGATGTTAAGAGCATTCCATGGAATATAATGGAATATAACAACAAGTGTATCTCGAGCCGGTTTCTCAAATGTACATGCCCCACCTTTAAAGTTCAGAGTAATCAACAGTTTTTTTCAATAAATGGATGTTTTTAAAGTATATGGATAATTTTTTTTAATAATCGTGATATCAATTATTGACCCAAATAATCGAGATTATGATATTTGCCATAATCGAGCAGCTCTACGTTTCCGGAAATAAAAGTCTAGCAGCTTTAAAAGGACATAAATGAACAAAGTCTACTTTAACAAAAAACAGATTTGTTGAATAATCCGATAAGAAGAATACAAACAGTTTGAAATTAATTGAATAGATAATATCTCCGCAGCTCTAGACGTGGACGCAACACATTTCTGCTGCAGTGAGTGCGATGTCTTTTGTTAACGTGTGTCGCAGTTAAATGAAATAAACCAGCTCAACAAACTCATGGTCAAACGGGTGTTTTCTGACAGTGAGTTGCTGACGTGTCACTTTAAATTCTCATAGGTGTAGGAAAACAGCGCCTGCATGCACGGGGCTCAAATTCAAATGACTGGACGTTCATCTGAAGCTTTTTAACAAAACAAGTGCGCATCTTTCACTCCTCGAACAATACTTTCATTGAGCAAGGTGGCCTAGATTCAACGATACAATACACCCCGGGCATCCGATCTCTTCACAGCCAATTAAACGGCACATATTGAGTTCAGCCGGTGGGGCAACCTGAGCTCCGTACGCTAAACGTGCAGGTTTTGGTACCCGGGGCGGAGTGATTGCTCCTCATATTGGACCGAGGGTTGGAGATTGGGTGCCGCAGACTAATGGAGCGAGCGGTTCTTCTCACACACACAGTAACAGGAAACGCCTCCCTGCAGAGGAACAAGAGCCAGGCGCTGACATTCAGAGATCCACCTCTTAATCTCGTTTTGCAAATCTGAATTGGAGGGTGGCGAGTTGTGTGTGTGTGTGTGTGTGTGTGTGTGTGTGTGTGTGTGTGTGTGTGTGTGTGTGTGTGTGTGTGTGTGTGTGTGTGTGTGTGTGTGAGAGAGAGAGAGGGAGCTGCTTCAGGTGCTGATATGTTGCCGCAAGATAAGATAAGATCTGACTTTATTCATCCCGAAGGTAATTGTTGTGCCAGAGTTACACAAATAAAATAAAAATACACATCAGCATGATAATAATAATACAACTGTACTCTAACAGTGCAGTAAAAAGAGCAATTACATATCTACAGGAAACATAGACGGTCTCATAATTAATGTAAATATTACCAGTATTCAGTAGTGCAAAAGACGTAGTGGCAGATGTTATATAGCAGAGAGTGTGTAATGATGGTAAAGGTATTTCTATTGCACATAGTGGTGGGGGGGACGCTCTCAGTTCCCTTTACTGAAGGGTGAGGAGTTTGATGGCCACTGGGAGGAAAGACCTCGTGTTCTTAAAAGCACCATCTGCTCCATGTGAAGAGTGTCGGATCATGATGAGGGCAGCTGTTAGAAAAAGGTTAACCCAGTGTATTCAACCGAGTCGTCTAAAGACATGCACTTTGTGACGTCTGCAGCCCGAAAGGTTGCTCAGTGACCTTTGCTCGCTTCTCTCGTTCGTGTGTTGATGTCGGAGAATGTGTGTTTTAACAGCAGGGGATGTAATACATGCATAAGGCCATCAGGAGGCGTGTCGCTTGTTCACTGTTTCTTTCACGTGTCTCACTGCTTTCTCTCCCTCCGACAAACTTCATGAAATATCCAACAGCTTGTGCTCACAGTACCTGCATGACCCGGCATGGCTTTGGACGTGCATGGAAAGAGGCATCTGTGCCCAAAACCCCATGTTATCTCACTACAAGTAGTCTCTGCAGAGCACGCTGCAACCAAGGCCAGCCCTGACTTGTACCATGCATAATACAAAGAAGTGTGTTTCTGAA